AATAAGAAATCTCTAAACGAAATGATTTGCAACACAAAATACTGCCTAACGCCTAAAAGGTAGACTTTGAATTGAGAACTAATTGCTTCATTAAAAGAAATCTAAAAATCAAGATAATGGTGTCTGCCAAATCTATGCTATGGAGAAGGGGTCCACGAGTTTTATAAAGTTTAAGAACTGCTCTGAATTATTCCAACTGTCTACATTAAAACTGTTCTTTTCCAAACGTGAAATTTATTTGTTCGTATATAAATCACAAATCTATCGTATATATATATATAGGCCTATCAACACTCATTACAGTAAAACCTCGATTTAACGGACAAAATATCCAGTTTGTATGTCATATGTTAGAATTAACATCTCGTTAATTTTAAAATGCTTTTATATGTAATTAAATTACCAGGGGAGTATCTCGATATATCATTCTTTTGTGTTTTTAACAAATTTAAATTTTGTTTTCTCTTTAAGAACATGATAAGAACGTTATGATTTAACTTTAAAATCAAGTAGATCGGTAGCTCTTATCTACTTGATTTTAAAGTAAAGTTATCCAATGCGCATACAAGTTTAATGTGACGTTGTAGGCGACAGCATTTTTCTTTAATCTTAACTCTTTTTTCATCACTTTTCATATTTTGTATATCATTTGCAATGCGGTAATTTAAAACTGCGTGCTGCGCCATCTTATTTTAAGAAACTTTTTATACTATTAATTATTATAAAATGGCAAACAGGTTAATTTTGAAGGCAGAGATGAGTTTTATAAAAATAAAAATAAAAACTTGTAAAACCTAATAACGAATAAAATCTTCAGTTAGTCCGACTCTCCCCTCTCTATCTCTCCAGCTCTTCGACCTTTAACCACCAAAATTTATAGTATCAATCCCCTAAAACACAAACCTCCCAGCAAAATTTCAGAAATTTTTGACAAAAAAGCACAGGAGTTATTAATTAGGCTTCAAATTGGGTGAACAAAATTGTGCATCACACACTTGAAATCCATACATACAGAAAAAAAAATCCAATTTTTTTTTACTTTGTAGGTTTTAAGGTCCTCTGAGTCCAAAATGAAAAAATCTTTGTAGAGGGCATTTTTGAGAGATCGCCATACATTCCTTGTTTTACATAACAGCCGGAAAAGTAAAAAATGACACACAAACCTCATTTCTGGAATATATACAATGCAATTAAAGGTCACGCAATGCAGTTATTATATTTTCAATTATCAGATTAAGTTATATGAATTGCAATCATTTCTATACAATATTTTAGCGATATTTAATAAATAAAACATGCTCAACGGAGCATGTTTTATATATAAACATATCTCAACATAATATATAAACCTAATAATAATAATAATATATATAACAATAAAACATTTTGATTAGGGTGATTCAAAACTCAATTAACCGAAATATATTTTAAGATAATTAAAACATTTTAACTGTTCTTAAGGATAATAATATTAAAATGTCTTGTTTATTTGTTAGACTTACATACAGTCAAACCTGTAATAACGACCACCTTTCAACAACGTCCACTTCAGCTATTTTTTTTCAGGAACCTTTCTTTTTGAAATGCATACAAAATATCCTTCTTTGATTATAGAGGAGAAGGTGGTATTATGGAATCCCATTTTCATTATAGTGAATTGTAAACAAGGTATCATAACTACACCCACATTTTTTGTGCGAAAAGTACTGGTAACTATTAAACTAAATGTTCCTAATTGGCTTTTTCGCTAGTGTAACTAAAAGTATGGTTTTTGAAGGCTTCTGTACAAAAAGTCAGAAAGTAGGCTTAGAGAAAACCGGGTGGTAATATGGAACCTTAATGTATGTTTTCAAAAAATGCTTTAATGTATCCAAAAACAAATAGGAAACTACAAAGAATGTTAAATAATTACAAAATTATTTACTCCAATGTATTTTATCGCAAAAATGCTTTNAACCTTATGTACGTTTTCAAAAAATGCTTTAATGTATCAAAAAACAAATAGGAAAGTACAAAGAATGTTAAATAATTACATAAATTATTTACTCCAATGTATTTTATCGCAAAAATGATTTAATAATAATAGTAATAATAAAGAAATGTACAAAGAAGAAGCTAATCATTTACAAAAATCACAAATGTAATGCTACTATAGTGTTAGGTATCTATTTTTACTTTTTTCATTTTTCTTCTATTTTTTCATTCATCTATTACATACTTTTACAAAAGTTAGACGGGTTCCATATTAAAAGCACCAATGGGGCCCGTATTTCACGCATCGTAATCTTGAATTAACTTATGTCTGTCGAGACCAAGTTTGAAAAAACGTGAACATCACACAGATTAATACGTACCCCTAAGTCTCTGGAACGGAATACATGCACCAGTGAACCTACAACTACACGATTTATATTTTAGAAATAATTAAATTCACTTACCATTCAAAACTTTCGAATTTCGAAAAACACAAATACGCTGATTCATAACGGACAACCGTTTAACTGAAGTGAAACAGGTTTTCCCCTTGTTATGGATGTCTGCCTAGTGCAGTTCAGCCACAATCCACTACAGTTCGCCTTTATTATCAGTTTGAAATGGAAGGGTTCCATAATACCTGCAGGGTTCTATAATACCACCTTCTCCTTATATACATAAATAAGTTTTAAGCTACGTTATTAATTAAGCAAAATGCGTTACTTTCAAGCCAAAAACTAAACCTAACACCACGAAATGTTCTAGAAATTGGCATATTTCAAATTAGTCATTATAATTTAAATTCTAGAAGCTAGAAATCCAGAGACACGATAGAGGAAAAGTAATTTATTATTTTTCCATTGACTATCGAGAATTTTTAATGCTATTATTAATTACTGATTCCAGCCTGTGTGTTCCTGTGTAAACCCTTCCAAGTAGATGAAAGATTTAGCTGCATATATAAAAAAAAATGTTGAAATATATGACACAATCTCTCTAAGCCGGCTCTCGAACTCACGAGCTTGATAAAAAGAGGCCTTCTAAGTGCCCGCGGGGAAAAAAGTTTAGAAAAGTGACGTGTTTGAATGATAACAATATGGTTAACAAAGAAAAAACGTACGTTTAGTAATTCACAAATATTGGCGAGTTCTACTTAATATTTGTGAATTGATAGGATTAATAAGGCAGGGTAACAGATGAGCAACCTGTCAAGGAGGTGACCCCGGTAGATCTTTCTATAACTCCTATTTAGTAGTGGAGCATTATGTTATAGACAAAAAGGGCAATTGCCTGGGGGGCCTCAAACCAATTTTCTACAAGAAAATATTCCCCGAATAATCATCCGCTCGTCTACTGATGGGCTAATATTTGCCAGGATGATGCGTGTAACGCTATTTGGGGATACTCTACATCGAGGTTCCATTGTATAAATAATAATAATTCTAAATATATCGTATCATAAATGAATAATAGCAGTAAAAGTATACAAAAAATTGTACAAGTTACCGCTATTGTGCCAAGAAACAATAAATAAAATACAAGTAATAATTTATAGTTTATTAACTTTCTACACTCATTAAACACTTGATACGTCTTTATTAAATAATATTTACATTTATCTGATCAATAATACTAAATGAATAAACAAGATGGAAGTGTATGCGTTGTGAAATATCAATATTTTATTTTATAAAAAGATTTTTTGTGATTTTTTTTTCTTACATTTAGATATAAGCCAGCTCACATTCATTCAATGAAAGAATAATCTTTTATTATTTTTTTCCTTCCTCTTAAATGCAATAAGTTTTTATTGATTTTATTGATTTTTACCTTTCTATTTGTAGACCTAAATAAACATACTTTAAATAAAAGACATTTTATTTTATTTTTACAATTGATTTAAATCTTTTAGTGAATTTTGAAAGTATTTTATTAAGTTAAAAAATAATTAAATTTCCTAAATTCACTTATTGGACTGCAATTTTCAAATTGTTTGTCTGTTCGTTTGTCCATCTGTGTTTCCTTAATCTCGAGAACGGACTTAGGTAGACGAAAATCGAGACCAGATATAGAAAGTTTAGGGAGCGATTAACTACGTACGAAATTCCGGGCTGGACCGGAAGTCGCGTGATTTTTTTTTAAACTGAATTGCAGCCGGCATTGTTATGACGTCACGATAAGTAATTGCTCGTTATTTTACAATAAAAGATCAAGTTTACATGAAAATAAAGTGAAAAAGAATTTAAAATTATATAAAATTTAATTAATTTAGTAAATATTTGATGGTAGGATATAGTTTCCCAACCGATAGCTCGCGTGCTCTTTGAAACACTACTCTTTCTAGCAGTCTAAATGATGAAAGGTTGAAAATTACCGTGACAATTCATAATTGTAAAACACAGACAGAGTTTAAATATTAAAGCAATAAATTATTTAAATATTTAAACATAGTTTATATTAAATTCATATTTTAAATAAGAATTTTTAAAGATTTTTACATAAACTCAGCGCCAGATTTGTACATAAGCTAAACAAGATGCATAGGGCCTCAATTTTTACATGTATCATTATTTAGTGGAAAGGAAGGGCCTTTTATAGCTTTAGGTTACAATTTTAATAATACATTTACAAGCATAAATGAAATTTGTCTGCAAGGATAGCCTGTAACATATGAAGACTTTAATAGCGCGTTACGGGCCTTTAAGACTCTAGACAATATAAATTTTAAGAGGCCCCATCACGTACCTTATATTTAAAAATATACTTTATAAGACGTTATATAGAAAAGGCATAAGGGCCTCAAATCAACGAAATTCATTCTGAGAGCCTTACTCGTGCTTACTTCAGCATAACGCGCCATTGAAGAAATGACAAGTTATGCTCTCATACAAATTCAAAATTGTGATTTATAATTAAAAAAAAAATTATAACGTGAAAGAATTTAATTCCATTCATTTTATACACGTATATTTATATAATAAGAGCTAGGTAAAGATGACTTAAGAAGAAGTTAACTCTGATCTTACCTGTGTTATCTTTATTGACATAGAAACTACTTTAGGGATGAGGAAAATATAGAAATTATGAAAGAGTTAATATCCAAATATCCAAAAAAATTTTTATTTGTTCATAACTTAGATTATTGTCGCCACTAAAAGCAATACTTGTCTGTTATGTTTGCATCATCACTAAGGTAACGCTCAATCAGCTGCACAGGCGCTCAATCAACACGTGACCCACTTGCCTTCTTTCTTCCATTTGTTTAAAAGTTGACTTAATTTTATTAAAANAGGAACCCGTGTTATAGGGGGATCGACTGTATACCAAATTATTCAAACTTCAAGACACCATTAAAAATAAAAATAGCATTATAGTGAACATTTTTTTTAGTTAACTGTATAAGTTGGCGACCCCACAGAAAGCCCGTCGCGACCCCTTTCTGGGTCGCGACCCATAGGTTGGGAACCCGTGTTCTAGAGTAATAATAATTACATTTAAATGAAATTTAAACGCATTATTTTAATAACTTTATAATCATAAAAATGATCCTCCAAAATGTTTACACTTCTTGACTTGGAGCTTTGAAGTGTCGATAAATGCAAAATATTTTGGGGTTTTTCTTACACACGTTTAGTTGTTTCTACGCATGTTTGTGTGGAGGCGCGATTTTGTTCTACCATTTTGAAGCATGATAACTCCTGTGCCTTTGGTCGAAAATTTCTGAAATTTTTAAGGGAGGTTTGTGTATTAAGAACATTATTGACGCTATTAAATTTTGATGGTTAAAGAATAGAATGAGCGGGGAGACAGAACGGGTCACATGTCATATCTCGAGAACGGCGTTAGATAGATGAAAATCAAAAGTAAAGTACGGAAAACTTAGACTCCGATTAACTGTACACCGGGAAGTACACCGTACTTCTGAACCGGAAGTCACGTAATTTTTTAAATTAAATGACGATTAAAAATTGTAGCAAAAAGCTTAATTTTTGAGGTAGACACGAGTTTTTATAAAATATTGCAAATGCTAATAACGAGCAAAATTTGCGTTAAGTCTGACACAGCTCGAGATACGACACACGATGAGACAGAGTTAACTCTATCTCCCGCCACCCTTTACCTTTAACTATCAAAATGCAATTACATCAATCCACCAATACACAATCATCTATGCAAAATTTTAGAAATTATCGAAAACTTTCAATAAAACGCACAGGAGTGATTAAGCTTCAAAATGTGTAAACAAAATCGTGTCCCCCACACACTAACATCCATACATACAGAGAAAACCTCCTAAGTTTTCATATTAGATTTAGGCGAATTTCTACATTTATTATTTAATTCCCCCCTTCAAATTCTGCAAATTGGTCTTTGTTTAAAAAAAAAAAACAAAGACCAACGCATTTTTATTTGTTATATTTATAATTTTGAGTACGAGAATTAAAATTATAATTACTATACAATTGTATTTTACTGTATAGACGTCGGTGTACATATTTTACATATCATCCATACTTTAATTCGACATTTAAAGTCAACTAATGTAAATATTTACTTATGTTAATCCAAATGGTCTTTGCACCGACAGCTCTCCATTCTCTCAAGGGCCCCTTGAGAGAATGGAAAGCTGGCACGGTATTTGAGTCGTACTGCCATGTACAGTACAACTCAAAGACCGTAAATACAGTATCAAAAATGTAAATTTTCGACTATAAATTCGTATCTTCTATTATCAGGACTTATTACACTGGCATTACAGATAATGATACAAAGTTTAACAGAAACCAATTTTTATTTTATTCCATATACCTGGACACATACATAATTTTGCGTTTCGGACATATTTGTCCCTCCTCAGCAGGTTTTTCTGTATATTCTATAAACAATAAAACAAATATTTAAAATTTACAATTAAAATTTCCCGACAAATTATTTAATAAAATTGTGAGGCTCCGGAAGTAGGTCGAAATTCGCGCAAGATAATGTTTTAATTTCGTATAAAAAAAGTGTTTTTTTTTAAATTATAACAATAATCATTATTTTATATTGTAAAAAGAAACCGTCTAACGCAAGGCGAATATATTATGTCCCTATATAGTCATATCTGTAGAAATTTCTGAGAAAAAACGAATTTCTCAGAAAGAAACAATAGATGAATTTGAGTACTTAGATCGAACATCTTCGATAGGAATCAAATTGTCAGTCGGGGGGACTCACCCCGTAATCTGGGCTCCGATCCCGTTACAATTCGTAACGAGGAGGGGACACCAATTAGAGAACGGGGGCAGATCTGCATCGACCTATCGGAATGTTCGATCTGGGACTCAGAAAAACTTATAAAAACCGCGCAAAAAAAGGATGTGACGTTCTTGGTTCCAAGTTCGGTGTGCTCCGCTTCTGGATTTTTCCTGCGGTTCAATAACGGAAACTTGGTCGTCGTCCCGAAAGAAGTTTTCGCCATCCTGTCCCAGCAAGTTTCGCCAAGGGTAATCTACTGCAGAATCACCCCTTCAAGTTGTGCTGTGCGCCCCGGAGCCTACGTTTTCCTCATCATCTTCGCCAAAAGAAGAGAAGATCGTAGAAAAATTGAACTTTATTTACGAACTGATTCACTCTGTGGATAGGCCTTACGCCGAAGAAAACAGTAGTTGTAAGCGAAATTTTTATATTTAATAAATAGTTTGCGATGGAGGACCTGTCTCAGTAAGTTTTTCCACTCCCACACGACAGTGCTGACCGCTCGACTGTCGCGACACTTTCTCCCCAATCGGCAAACCTCGCAAAATTCTTACAATTTTCCGGTTTTCCTTTATTTTTAGCTCAACTGGATATTCAAATTTTACCAATAAAAACACTGTTAAACTTTCTGTTTCTGTTAAACTTTGTATCATTATCTGTAAAGCCAGTATAATAAGTCCTGATAATAGAAGATACGAATTTATAGTCGAAAATTTACATTTTAGTAAGAAAAAAGGACATTGAGGCATTTTAATTAAACAGTATCAAAAAGTGTACTGTAACAGTAATGTCTACAATGTCGCAGATGGAAGACTGAAATTTAAGATAAAATAAAGTAGATATCCTTAAAAAAAACTTTATATTTTTAACTATTCTAAAATGGCCAAAAACGTAATTTTGAGGGTAGGGATGAGTTTCATAAAAAATTGTAAATGCTAATAACGAGTAAAATCGTCATTAAGTCCAACCCTACTACACGATTCCCTTATCTCTCCATCCCATCGACCTTTAACCACCAAAATTTAATAGCATCAATCCCCCTAATAAACAAACCTCCCTACAAAATTTCAGAAATTTTCGACAAAAAGCAAGTGAGTTATGAAGCTTCAAAAAAGGTGACCAAATTCGTACCCCCCAAACACACTAAAATCCATACATACAGAAATTATCCTTGAATTTTTTATGCAAAATCATATTTTCCAACTCATTCCACAGATTACAAATCTTTAATAAAAAGCTGATTTCCTGAAATTAGCAGAATTTAATTTATCCGTAAATTACAACTTAAAATATATTAGTCTGGTACATTGTTCGTTAACCGATCACTCACTGTTTATTATACAGTAATATGTGAATCTCGGATAATTCGAAGTCACGAGGATTCCCTGTTTAAAGTGACTAAATTGAGTTGCTTGGGTCCTAACCAATATTGTGGATGATTTTTTCCCTACTCTTTCCGCCCTGTGGGCACTAAGAGGGCCTCTTATAGCAGGCCCATTATGGGTTCGGCCAGGCCCACAATGGGGCGACCGGGTGGTGAGGGAAGGGGCCAACATATCCGAACGGACTCTTGACCCATCCGGATTCGATCCCGGGTCTCCCAGATCGGTAGGCTGCCATCTTGATCGCTCGGCCATCCGGCTGCTCGTATTATGGATGTGGAGTCGGAGTCGAAAGAATTTTACAGACTCCGACTCCGAATTTGAATTTTACTATTGATAAATGTGAAGTACGAAAAATACTTTTTAATTAATCTATTAATATCTAAATCTAAAGAGATTTCATAGAAAACGGAAAATTCGATAAATTTAAATATCAAAATGATATTTGCCTATAAAAGTCATTTCACGCCAAAATGTTATGCCTATCTCATGCGACACGCTTTATACTTTCAGAAATAGTTTTTATTCCTTTCATTTAAGGCCCACCAGTGACCGAATGGATGAAACTATCGAACACCTGTAGCTGGTCGTAGGATTGCGCCTCGTCAACCAGCTGGCCACGTGGAGTTTTCCGTGTTTTCTTAACGTTAATTACACTTAAATATAGGCTAGTTTCCCATAGAAAGTCCTTTCGGATGGAATTCCCCTTTTGGCAGATGCCCCTTGTCACATTACCGTATACGAATAAAACCAAACCAAACCGAATATTTTAATGTAAAATTTCTCCGTAAAAACTTGTACTAAAATTTATTACGAGAATCAAAAGACGTACATAACGAATTTACCTTCGAAAAACCTATGTAAAGAAATGCTACATGTTAATCGGCCAAACAATTTCACTTTTATTTTTAATTATCAAAACTTGATTTAAATTAATTACATTAAAGAAAAACATTAAATACAGTAAAACGCAAAAAAACAACAACGATTCGACGAATGACGTAATAAATTGGCCCGTATAATAGTTTCTTTCAGAAAATAAATTCTATCGGAATAGTTAATTAATAAAAGTGACGTAACCATGGGAATTATTGTTAGGTCAAAGTTCATTCACACATCAACAGACGAAACTAATTGACTTCGTGTACCCGTGCACGCTCTGAATTCGGTTTGACTTTTTTGAAAAATACTCGGAGAAAGAGCTAGCGTCGGACGATAATCGACCATTTTTTATTACACTCGGTCAAATTCTCATTAATACCAGAACGGGATAGTGTGGAGTACGAGATCGTTACTAGATGGCGCCATGATGTCAATGATGTGGATTGATCGAATATACTTTCGGTGGGAAATTTGAAAATATTTATGGACAAAACGACACGTTTTTAGAAATTCATGAGAAAAATATTTGAGATATGATTTCGTAGAGAAGTTGAACGTCTTAGAAGCGCATTAATAAATAAATGGTTTCTGGTATTTAAACACCAGCGAT